ATTATGGAGTTGGAGGTCATGGAAAGGGTTATTATAGGGTGTGACGGTCGGATATTATCGGTACACAATATTGCGAACCATCACATGACCTAGGACGCCACACCCCTAAGTCTACAGAATACAAAAACAAAAATAGAGAAATGGGGCTTTAAGGCCCCATTCACACCTGAGCGTTTTGTAGCGCGTCCTACGGTCTACAAAACGCTCAAAAAAATAAATTGCATTGCAGTCAATGGGTCTCGTTCCCACCTGTCCGTCTCTCCGCCCGTCCCGAACGCCCTACAAAACGGCCCGCGCCTGAAAAGGTCCCGGAGCGTTTTTGCTGCGTATTGGTCCGTTTTGTAGGGCGTTTTCCATTTGAATACTGCCAAGTAGCCTTTGGAATCGCGCGACGGTCGCGCGACTTTTTTACCGCGAATCGCGTGACGGTTGCGCGACAGACGCGCATATTACAATACGCATAGGTGTAAATGGGGCTTTAAAAGTGTCCCCGGATGCAAGGAGACCCGGTTCAGAGTGACGCATACAAGTCGCTCATTGTATAAATATATATATTATTCTTTATTAAAATGAAGATGACAGATTGGCGATATCATTGGACGGTACAAAGCCTCCCGGATCACATAGAGATACACACTGCGTATACCTCTCTCTCCCTGCTCTATTCCCGACGCACCAAACCACGCCCGTCCCGGATCACATAGAGATACACACTGCGTATACCTCTCTCTCCCTGCTCTATTCCCGACGCACCAAACCACGCCCGTCCCGGATCACATAGAGATACACACTGCGTATACCTCTCTCTCCCTGCTCTATTCCCGACGCACCAAACCACGCCCGTCCCGGATCACATAGAGATACACACTGCGTATACCTCTCTCTCCCTGCTCTATTCCCGACGCACCAAACCACGCCCGTCCCGGATCACATAGAGATACACACTGCGTATATAACAATCACTTATTACCATTTATCTCCTTAAATATCTCTTTTATATAATTGCATCAATAAATTCAGCCACAACGCTCAGTAGATCTAACATGTGTCCAGTTTTCCACACGTTTCGCTCAAGGCTCCATCAGGAAAATACGGAGGGGCCCTTACTGGAATCTCTGTCCTACTGACATGCGTCCCCACTGCCGGAGAGCCAACCCAAAGCAACCTCGGGAGGTAAGGGAAGTAGGGGGACCATGCGGGCCAACGAATGGGGAAGAAGGTACGCCTGTCCATGATGAGTCCTTCAAACAGTTACTGGATGCGTTCTGCTCAATGTAGTGTCACTCCTCATCCAGCAAAAGGCAGCCCCCCCCCTCCCCCCCAATCCGAGCAGCCCACATCTCCCCCTTTCTCTCCCTGCTCTATTCCCACCGCACCAAACCACGCTGCTTGCCGCTAACGGCGCGCGTCATGTGCAGCTGGGACGGGCGTGG